AACAACAAGGAGCGCAATAAGGTCCCCCCAGGAGCCTCTCGAAAGGATAAGGATGGGCGGTCAGGAAACAATTACGTAGTTTCCAAATAAAGTGAGGAGTAGAGGCTCGAGACATTGGCCTTTGCGCGAACAGAGCCGTAGAAATTCAACTGTGGACCATAAAAAATCAGAAATCAGAAAAACAATTTATTGAAGACTCGGCAAGGCCCCTTTGCGGTTTCGCTTAAATAATTGCAAAGTGTACTCGGATGCAGCACTTGGACGGAAAGGAAAATTCGCTCGCATGACGCACGCAGCTGCTGGCCGCGAGAGCTGCGAGATTTTCACTTGGCCCGCTCGTGTGCGGTTCGGTATTTCGAGCTTTTGTTTACATTTGGGTTCAGCTATTTTGAGAAGCCATAAACAGAGCAGCCAGCACGAACGGCAGGAGCCGGAGCCGGAGGAGCCGGAGATGAGGAAAAGTCCAAAGTCGGAAAACAAATAACTAATATGTGGAACGCACACTCGCACAGCTCGTACTCGTACAGCGGGAAACCTAATGAGCTGTGCCGCTTTTGAAGTTGCCTCGCAGCAGTGATCGAACTGAATGGAATCGAAAATCGATCGATAATCAAATGGAAGACCCACAATTAAGGCAGGCAGCCATAGATAAGACCTGGGGCTGGCTGGATGGGGATGGACACGCTCGAGGGTGTGCGTTAATCACGCAAGTAATTCTAATGCCAGACCCTCCGCCCGCCGCCCTCCGCTGCCGAAGCCGAAGCCGACCGCCTCGCCCTGCCCTGACCTCCCGCGATAAGTTTTCCCTCCCAGGGGTGGGTTTCCACTGCCAGCGCGGCACGGGGCATAATCAGGGCAGAACATGCCACGCACAACGAAAACAGCAAACCGCTGGCAAGGACTGCTCGAGGATTGGGGTGCCTTCCTGCTCCCTTTTAACAAAGCTGTAAAACTGTCACCTCTCGCAATCAAGAGACTCAAATTAAAGCCCGGAGTGCTTTTCGCCACACATTAAAATTCAGAAACCTCCAGTCAAGTGCGGCAGTCGAGAGGTTGCGACTCCCATATGAGATTGTCTGGCGGTTGGGCTTCACAGATTTCATTTCAAGCTACATAAACAGGAAAATGTGGGACCTTGAAGGCGTATTTAATTGTGAATTTTAATTCATTTTGTTGTCAAATATTTGGTGCTACCTTTTCCATGGAAGGGGTTACATGGCGTATGTATATATGGTGAATATATGTCTTTCCGAGTAACACTTTAAGATATTATATAAACTAAAAAGCATAGCTCTCCAGCCTAGCTACATTAACATTTAAAATTCAGGAGGTTTTCTCAAAAGAATGAAGATGTAATTTTTAAATCGATAGGAACGGTTTCTACTACTTAACCCGTAGGCAGTCTATGGTAGTCTCATTTAGTCCGTTAAAAAAATTACAGATTGTGAATGAAACAGTGTTAAATAACAAGTATGTTGTTAGCCCTTAAACAGTAACTAGGTATTTTTTTCGTCTTCTATAAAAAGCCCATATATTGTTCTCTATAATTGTTCTTTAGATGTTTCTAAAATTATTCGCTGTTTTTGATTTCTTATAGAAAATGTTGAATCTAAAATTGATTATATTTTATATTTATATCAAATATTATACAATACTTTATAATCTATGATTGTATGTATGTACATTTTGGTACGTTTTACCTGCTGCTATATTTTTATTATTGTATAATCTATAGTATATCAAAGCCTGACTTCAATTCATATTTTGAACTCCGCGAATGAGCTTAAAACTAAACTTTAACTCATTTTTCTTACTCGCGGTAAGGGTTAAAGTATATTTTTAAATATTGGTATGTGGTAATTTGGTAAATATTGGTATTACTTTACGCTTTACAGGATGTTAATTGACTAAAAATCTGTCAACTGTCAACGACAAGATTACGTTACAGTTAGTGTACCATGACCTAGTCTTCACTCTAACAAATCTGGATACGAATTTTCGATAGGTCGTAGAGATAAACTAAACTTATAATTAATAAATGAAAATAGGCATTGGAATAAGACATTTTTTCTATTCATAACCCCTAGGGAGGCTGGACAAGTTTTGGGTAAGTACCCCTGTTCTCGAAGAATACTAATCCGCTTGTTAACCCGTCTAGTGGGTTCTTTGGGAAAGTTCCGTTCACAAAACTAATTTTCTTTCGACTCCCCTCCCAGCCTTGGCAGTATTTATGTTTATTAGACTGGGCAGGCAATTTGCCGACTTAAGCAATTACCAGCCACCCAACAAAAGGCGTTGGCGCTTTTCAATATTTATACGCCGTCCGCCGTCGCCCAGGGCTCAGGGCCCACTGCCCGCGGCCCTCTAACGGTATGTAAATGGTAAATGGTTGACGGCTTACAAAACACCACGCCAGGCATAACAAAGGCGGCGCTGCGACCACAGCCCGTTATTATTATTGTTGCATACGCCAAGGCGCTCTCGTCCTGCGCCTGTCCTGTTTCCCGCCCAGGCCCCCCGTTTCTTTTCCTTTTTCTTTGTTTCTCCAGCAATTTGCGAAGAATGTAATTTAATAGCGTTGCATGTGTGCCGATGTGTGTGCGGGCCAGAGAGCTGTTGAATGCGCCCCCAGGTGGGTCGGTGGGCAGGTGGCCAGGTGGGCCCGTCAAAAGGTAAATTACACCAGCAGCTGACTACCCGGAGACACCGTTCAAACAACGGCTCCTTAGCTCCTCGGGCAGGACACATTCAAGATTATTGGTTTCAAGGGTAAAATTATGAAATGAAGTGGAAAATTAAGTGAATGATTGTGCCAAGTGCCAAGCGCCAAGAGCCGAGGTAAAGGATACGTGGACCGGATGGGGGATGAATAAACTCCGGAGTAAAGACTCCTAATCTCACGTTGTTACTGAGACCCTGTAAAGGTGGCTACAGAACCCTGATATAAAACCGTTTAACGTGGCATTAGGATGTTTCATCCGAAAACCCCTTTATTTTCACGGTTTAGGGTTCTCGAAACCCCTGTTACGGGCACTTTCGTCACTAAAACTGGAGCAATTTGCCAGATAATCAAAGTCTTGTAGGAAATTCAATGATTATTCTTTATAAAAAAAATTATAAAGCGAATTCTACAAAATTTATTGAGTAACCTGCTACTTTTCTTAAAATAAACATAGTTTCTGAATTGAATCTTCAATAAGTAGCAATAGCCTTACAATTTAAACAGAATTGCTTTTTCCGATCAAAGTATTTCAGCACAATATTACCATTTTATTGTATCCTCTATTTGGAAATGCTGCTATTTACATTTCAATTGTCGGGATGTTTGTGTGCAAATCGAAGGGCTGTCTATCCGAAGTGCTGTCTATCCCCACAAAGTTCGGGGCGAGCAAAGGATATAACTTTAACAGAAAGTTCGCGTGTCTGAGTCATAGTCCGAGATGCAGTGAGGAGCTCCCAAGGAAATAAAAAGGACCCAAAAGAACTGTGTCAACGACTTTGCTCCACTTAGCCATTTAAGGAGCAAGTTAGCTGGCACGTAATGCCGGAGAGCAGCAACAGAGGGATGTGGAGAAATTCAAAACAAGTGGCACAAAATATTGAACAACAATGGCGAGGGTATTAACAGGGCGGGTGGTCTGCAGGGGGACGCATGTGTCATCATTAGAATGGAGAACGGGAGCAATGTATTGGAGAGCGGAGAGTGGAGAGCAGAGAGCATCCTCAGCCAAGGATGAATATAGTGGCAGACAGCTATGGGGCAAGGGACAAGGGAAGGACGGGACACACGCACGCAGCACAAAAGGAGCGGCGGGACGCCTTTTGCGAGTAACGCAGTATCTGCTCTGCCACCCTGCCACCGAGCCACCACCATCCTCCCCCGAGCCAGGATAGTCACCACCATAAAAGTGAAATACACAATGAAATTTACGCAACATCCAGGAGTTGTCGTTGTAATAAAATAAAAAAATAGAGAATAACAGAAAAGAGGGTGACAAGCGGACGACAAAATCAACAAGGACATGTGAGGCACACGCTGATAAAACCGTCAGCTGAAGGAAAGGCAGTCAGGCGAACAAGGAAGACAGGAGGACCTCCGAAGAAGCAACAGAAGTTAATGTAAAAATCCGATTAGATTGAGACTATTACTTTGTCTTTTTGAAAGAAACGCGAGAGTGGGGAAACTTATGAAAACCTGAAATCAAATTAAGTGGAGATGTGGCCCTAAAATGTTTCAAAATGAGTGTGGCCATGCTCTCATACCGACAGCATTCCGGTATGAGAATGCTTCCCTTGAATTTCGCTTGAAAAGTATGCTACAATTTCTGCCTTGTAGTTCAGAGCTTTCTTTTTTCGCTGAATTGTACATTTTCTGCTTAAAGTTGACGTTTCAATCGATAAGTTTATTTTCGCCCAGAGACACCACTTAAAGACCGAGCAGAAAATCTGCAGGAAAACAAGAAGCAGCACTTTAAGCCGGGACCAATGTACTCGGAACAAAGGCATCCTGGCGGGGCTGCTGGCTATTGCGAAGACTGCGTAATGGCCGAGAGACACAGACAGCCAAATGAGAGCCACATTGACCTACACACACAGGCACACTGATTTCGATTCTGCCACAAACACAAAAAATGCGACCGCAAACACCAACGCACCCGCCACGGGGCCACAGACAGGGCGAATGATTAATTGTCAAAATATGTTGAGCAAAGCCAAATGCAAAAAAAAAATGAGGGGGGGCGAGGACTGGGGGGGAGAGCGGGAAAAGCTGGAAAAGCGTCACAACAACATAATAAAAAGTGCGGCAGTGTGCGTGCGACAATGTGTGCGCCGATGTATGCATATGTATTTATATTAACTTGTCATTACGTGACTACGGACAACAAGATTTATTATCATTTGGTCCTGCCATCCTGCCGTCCTGCCGACCCGCCGTCCTGCTGCCACCCACTGGACCCTTTCTGGTGCAACACTCATTCGAGTCCCCGGTTAATACTCACAGTAACTTGTTGAGCAAACTCAACCTTCGGTTGGCCGACCAGTTCGATAATATGAACCATATGGAACGCTTTGCTCTTCGACGTGGCGCCTTTGCGAGAAAAAATGGTTAGCGATTTTCACCGATTCTCTGGGAAGCGTTTGGTTAACTTCCTGCGAAAGCGATTCTCCTTTTCGGTTTCTGTTTACGACTGCTTTGTATAGGCTTTTGTCTTGGTTCTTCAATAAATACTTTTTGCACTTTTTGAGTTTTGATTCGAAATTTTCACTTGAATTCGTAGTCTCTCGTGGTGGCTATTGGTTCGAGTGTTTTGATTCTGTGCTTTCTGCTTTTTGTATACGTTGCTGCTATAAACGAGGCTGTGTATGTTTAGTGTTTATAATAATTTATCTTATCTTTATTTTCCAGTATTTAAACACGCCCGTCTACTCTTCTATCGCTATGTGCGCCCTCTAAGCGTTCTGCTCGTTCTAAAATCGAATTAAAATGTGTGTTTGGTGAGTGTTTGGTTGTTCGGGCCCGCTGTAAGCACGGGTAATTGGAGCACTTTTTCAGGTACAGTTGCTTTGAAATACATATTTGTGCCCGCAGCCAGGCCGCGCGGTTAATTGCTTGGAAATACACCCATTAGGCAAGGAAATTTATTCAATAAAACAACCGAAAAAAAAGCTGGCATTTCACTTTTAGGAATTTACAGGCCAACCAGGAAGTATCGAACAAATAATTGGTTGGTATTTCATTTCAAAGCACCCAAGAAAAACTCGAATAACACGCATTTCACTCTGATTCAACCAGGGACGGGTGGCTTTAAGGTCCAGTAGAGCACAGAATCCTTGCTTTTTCAAATCTTTTCGATGCCTTTTTGGGGAAAACTGCACTCTATTCTCGGGCGGCCAGAACCACGCTCTGCTGGCCAAATTAGAAAGAGCAATGCATATTCAATTAACAGGGCTATACGAACAATATATGGACAAACACGGAACACGGGGGCACAAAGAGCACAAAATACAACAAAATGTGGCTAAAACTGAAAACAGAATATTGGCGAAAAATGGTCGAGTGGTCGGTCGAGTGCTGGAGAATCGGAATGCCATGGAGATGAAAATGAAATTATGGAATGCTCAAAATATTCAAATTCAATGTGAGAATCGTTTTCCACAGCACTGCTCTGCTCTGCTCCGCTCCGCCTTGCTTTGCTTTGCTTTAGTTTGGTTGGCTTTTCGGGCCAACATTTTAATTGAAAATGTTTTCGTGTGCTGCGAGCATGAAACAATTTTGGTTGTTTGTTTATCTGGGCAAATTGGAAAAAATATAGTACGGCAAGGCATAAGGCGGGCATAAAGCATAAGCGAGGCGTGGAAAACATCCAAAAAGTAAGCCCCCAGGAGGAGAGAGCGGACCAACCTGATCGGCGCTCTGCCCAGTTCAGTTCTACGGTCTATTCGGACATTTTTGTTTACAAATTGTTTCTAATTATTTTCGGGTTTCGGGTTTGTTTATTGTGCAGTCGGGCTATTTCTGGAGCGAGCGTTAATGGCGCTGATGAAAAGATTGAACAGAAATCGAGTTCTGATGAGTCAGGAGCTGCTTCTACGGCTACGGCTACGGCTACTGGTGGAATCAGCATGAAATGGCTTCGGGAGTGATCTCTGGTGGTAATTTCCCGTGCTTACAGATTTAACAGCTTTGCTTTCAACAATTGCGGGTTGTGAATAAACAAGTGTATAACTTTTGCGTTTTCGAAGCGGATTTGGTTAAACTTGTTGTGTTTTAAAGCGAATCGGAATTATTGGTTTAGTTTGTAGGGTTTGGTTTAATTTGGTTTGGTTCAAAATATGCGTTTTCGGTACTATCGCCTAGGTTTCAGTTTGCGTTTTTGAATTAAAGAACAAATGTCACGACGAGAACTATACGAAAATATTCCGACTTAACCACTCAGAGAACTTAATGTGTACTCTCTGGCTTTTCCGATTTTCCGACTAGACTGATGAAAATTCAAATTGGAACTGTTCCCGTGTTCTGCCGAGCCGCTGCGAAGTTGCAGCGAAGTCGCGCCCGACTCGTGCCAGGCCCTCGTGCTCGAACGTCGGCAATTCGCTTTGCCGTTACTCTGTCGATGTGTGTTCTGTGTGTGTGTTACGGGGAAAAGCGTTTGTGTGCAGACGCTGCCCGTCGCCCTCCTGCGCATGCTCACTCTCTCTCGCTTTTCCTCATTGGCTTTGCTTGCGGCTCAAAGAAGAGTGTGGCTAGCTTGGAAGCTGGCATTGCCCCTTTTCGAAATCCCTCCAGCTTTCTAACGGCTTCCCTCGATCGCTTCGAATCGCTTACATGTCTGGACATGATCTATATATGAGATCTTTTGGCAAGTCTTTTCTTGAAAGAGGGTAACTCTAGAAAAACTTAACCTCACATTTGTAACTTTTATTATATTTACATATCACTTTATACTCTTATGATAAATTCATTGTAATTTTCGTTCTTTTGATTAGGTAAGGCAGGCATTACGGTAAGGGTTAGTCCTAATTTTCACATCGATTTCACATCCACATTTTTAGACAGATTTTCGTACTTGACCTTCTGTAACTACTAAAAAATTAATAAATGGCTAAAAACAGTAAAAATCCTGCATATGTACTTCTGTTGCACGAAAGATGCCCCCAGAGAGCGGTTCAGGATCGTCCTGTGCAACAAGTTCGACTCCGCGAAAGCATTTCGAAAGCGTCAAATGTCGGCATTTGGGCTTGCGCAGCGGGTGCAAGAGGGACAGTACCATACTCAGAGCCCAGGAAAAGGATGGCGCCTACTGCGATGAGCCGGCTCCACAGGGGAACCGACTCCAACCGAGCCGAACAGACGTCCGAGCCCCCAGCCCGAACACGAACTCGCGTCAAACGAACTTACAGCATACCCGACCAATTCTAACCAACAAACGCAACAGCCCCAACACGCCGGCACGGAGCAGACGGTAAACAACTCCACAAACACGCCGCCCGTGCAATCGAAGGGCCATCTGGTGGGTGGTTCGAAGGGACGGTCTGCTCCGCTCGGCTGTTCGTGAGCAGGCGACTCGAACGTGTCCAACATGTGTGCTCGATGCGACCCGATGTCAATCTGCAGGACCAAACTTAGTCCACCGACTAAGGGTATACTCTAAAAACGCAGAGACAAGATCCTGCGAGGAGCGTGGCTGACCATAGACCCAAGTTCTTTCCCAAAACCAATAGGAAATACCCTTCTTTGAAGAGCTTAACGAAAACAAAACAGCGCGGAGGGGCGAAGGCGGTCGAATAGCGGCACACTCAAAGCGGCTGGAAAAGCAAAAAGGCCTAGAAGGAAAATCTCCGACGGCCAGCCGAACTCGCCAAGGCCGACTCGTGTAGCGGAAACAGCCGCGCAGTCTGGCGCCCTCTCGCTTTTACAGGTCCCAACTGGGCAGTGGGTGCGAGCGAGGCGGCTAGCGTTAGTTTTTCGCCCTAGCTATGTAACATGCCTTGTGGAGTCCACCTGAGTGGGAGAGCGAGAGAGTAGAGCGCGCGGATGCCATGTGCTGGGCTGGGTCGGATGAAATGGGCGGCGAGTGGGTGGCGGGTGGTCTGGTTGGAGGGGATTGTTATGGTGCGGAGGCCGAGCCACAAGGCGCGAGCGGGCTGGAGAATGGCAAACATGTGCGTTTCGCTGCTCCTGCCTTTGCGTTTTCTGTTTTGACTGGAAGTGCTCATCACTGCGATGATAATTTTCTGCTGAATATTTATGAAACACATGACTCACAATGTGATTAAGACCAGAACCCCTCCTCCGTAGGATCCAAAAGGCAAACACGGAACGAGGCTGGAAAACTACGCCAATAAGAGAAGCGAAGAGAGTGCCTTTTGCCCGAAGAGAGTCCTGCCGAAGAGCGCGTGGACGCCCACACTCACATTAGAATTCGCACTCTCGCACTTACTTGCCACCACCCACCACCCACAACCCACCCGCCGCACGCCATTCACTGAAATGTTTGGAAATTCATCATCATGAGGTTTGATGACGACGCACGAAGACGGGAAGAAATTAATATGCGAAACGCAACAATTTTTGCCAACTACAGCGCCTGCAACAACAAGAGGGCCAACAACAACAACAACAACAGCAACAGCTGGAGGAACACTTTTTGTGCGCTGCCTCGAAACCGGCAAAATAATAACAAGGAAAACATCTGCGAGGCATTGAATAATGCCAGGGAAGTTTGGGGCGCGGCTTGTTGAGCGCTTTTTCAGTGGGGTTTCCCTTTGTGGTCGACTCTCGGTCCGGGCCTTGACTTCCAAACGGCAAAAGTGGCACTCAGAGTGGTTCAACTGATTTAGTTGCAATTGTGGCATAGAGGAAGTGGAAAAGGATTTGAAACATGTGATGAAATACATAATTACCTGCTTCTCGGGCAAGAGAGCACCTCCTTTAAGTCCAAACCATTAAAGTTCCTTATTTGACACATTTTCTTTTATAAATTTCTTAACTTTTACTTTTTTATTTGCAGGATTGACAGTTTCGTTGCTTTTTTCTGACAGAAACCAAAATGGGCTAACGCCACAGGACTTTTTTGATAAAATAGACAGAAATGTCCTAACGCGTCAACACCTGATCAAACTTTCATGATTTTTTTATGTTTTGTTATGTTTATGAGTACTAAAAATATAAATAAAAATATAATAAATAAAATATAAATAAATCTAATAAAATATTGATTAATTCATGATTTTTCTATAAAAAAAAAAATGTATTACAGTACTTACATATTCAAAGATTCTTTTCAAAAATTCAATCGACTCTTATCTAATAATAAACATATATTACTTTTCGTATAAATAGCTTTTCCTATCATACGTATAAACTTTGCTAGTTTTATGAATTATTTACATTCGCTGCCAATAAATTAGACTCGGACTCTATTTGAGACAGCTCTGTGGGCCGGGATGCTGAAATCTGGCCACCTAATATGCCAGAATCCATCAATAGTCAGCTCAATTCAGTTGAGTTCGGTTCAGTTCAGTCAGTCATTCATTCGAGCAGCTAACAATCTCCGCCCTTGACAGACTCGGAAACCTAACAACCTGCCAAAGCAGCAATGAATGTCGACTCCGTCTCCTCACTGCCTGTCCATCTGGCCTGCCCGCCCGTCCACCCCACGGAACCCCATTCAAGCGTTATTATTGTAGCTAGCTGTTATTCTTTTTTCCTGCTATTTTCGCTACGCGCTTTTTGCTTTCGGTTCCTTGTGCGTGGGTGTCTGTTTCTATCTCGGCGTGTATTTGTGTGTCACTAGGATACGCAAAGGCATCATGCGCCACCACCACCCAGCCACCCTACCACCCAACAGCCCAACCACCCAACTCAACCACCAGAGCAGTCAGAACCGGAGCAGCTAGCATCAGTCCCCGCGTCATCCTCCGGCGGGGGGGCCGGCGCGTTGTCTTGGAGTTTTTCAATTTGATATGCTCGACCGATTTTCGCTCATTTCAAGCGCGGCAACGTCGCTGTTGCCACTTGCTGTTGCTGCTGCCGTTGCTGTTGCTGTTATTGTTGGCATTGTTTTTCTGCGTTGCGCTTGTCGTCGCCAATTTATCGCATTTTTACTTTGATTTTGCGTTAATTTTTGGACTTCCCGGCCCCAGAGCCGCCTCTGAATGCCTCCCTCGCGTCCGTGGGTCCAGTTTCCTGTGTATTTAGCGCTAAATGGTGTGTTGATACTTTCGTTTTTTTAGCTGCCGCAATCTGCCCTGGGCAGTCGAGTGTTAAGGCATATAATCAGTGTTAAGATGGCGGCGATTATGCGAAATCAATTTTGCGGGGAGCGAGAGCTAGTTGATGGAAGGCCCTGTCTTGGCCTCCGATATCCTTTCGAGCGGTAGCCGACCTGCTATAAGCACACCACATCCTCCAGATCATATCCTCATTCGGTTATCCGGCACAGGAACTCGCCAAACAGCATTATTAAATCCAGAAAGAGCAATAAATTCAATAAATGGAAAAATTACCAATGATTTTTTTGCCATTCACTTGGGTTTTATGCACTTCGACATTATCTGGCACTCCCACGCCCACACGCCCACACACCACACACACCACACACGCCACAGGCGCTCCTGGAGCGACACCAACACCACCGTCGAGTCAATGTCATTTCGATTTTACATCTCGTGTACGTACAGCAAGTCGTTAGGCCGGGCCGGACACTCAGCTCCAGAGCGATTGGCTTTATGCATCAGCGAGCACAAAAAGCGGCCCTGGGCGGGGTGGGGCGCCTCCTCCACATGGTCGATATTTATGCGAAAATCAAGCGATAAATCTAAATTATATGCCATTGCTAAGCTAATGCCGGAGCACCAGACAAAGAAGTCCATGACGGGCCAGCCTTGACTCCTGATCCCAGCTGCTCCCTCCCCGACCAGGGGTCTCGGGTTCCGGAATGGGGCCTCGGAACGAGCTGAAAATATGCGAGAGGACACAAAGAGTATTTTTACGATGATTAGACATCCTTCAAATGGCCTAATTAAAAACGAAACGAGAGTGGAGCTGATAGATTCTGATTACCATGTAATTGGGAGGTCCTCTATGAAGGCCTCCGACTCTACTACTTGTCATCCTGCCGGGTCGGAAAGGTCGAAGGACGGAGCAGGGAATACGGAATACGGAATAAGGAATACTTTTCGAGACGGCTGTCAGAAGGTGGCCTACGGACGCTGAACCGAAACTGTATGTCCTGTCATACATATACATGTCGCAAATTTGATTACGACTGCTGCTGTGTCGTCAAGTTTTCGTTCCGCTGTCAGCCCGGGGGCACAAACTCTCTGCGGTCGAAAATTAATGAAAATTTCATAAACTGATGGGGCCTATGTGCATGTCTATCTCTGGCCGGACCAGAAGCCATCGCAATGTTTGCGGCTTGCCATCATAACTTAATTAACAGCCGCTCAGTCCGAACCCAGGGCCAATATCCATCCAGTCACCCCGTCCCGTAAGGTCGGCCGTGATAGATACTG